AAATGAGAAAATTACATCAATTAGGTTTTCATTGTTATATCTTATGCTTAAAATATGCGAACATTTTTATCACACATGTTTCAACATAAACTATTGTTTTAATTGGGTATCTTATAAGGAAAATTAATCATTATACCCTTATTTCTAAATACTAAATAAATATAAAGCTCACTTTTTTTTGAAAATTTAATTTATTCTTTTATATGTTTTTTTAAACAAAAACCTATTATTATTAAAACAACTTGGTATTGTAGAATAGAAAATTTATATTGTGCATATGAATAACACAGTACAAATATGAAATAAAATTAATTACTTAAATTGCTTTGTCAAGAAAAGACATACAAAGTATATTAGAATTAAATAAATGGTTCTTACATATTATTGATCGTCCGTGCATCGCACGAACATGACATATAGTATTAAATTAGTATATAAAGTGAACGGAATATGAACTATACAAAGCATTTCAAATATATGTATTTTATTGGAACAAATTATATTAAGTATTTCAAAATAACGAATTAAAGTTTTACAAATTATGCATGATTTTCTAGAACCAATTTGATATAGCATTATAAAATATGGAATGAAATCCAATATTATAAAACATTCCAAATATACACATGCTCTCTAAATGGAATCCAATATTATATTATTTGTAGTTTAATTGGAAATTGATGCTCCAATAGACTATAATATTCCAGTCAGGACATCCGGATCGGAACTGCCATCCGGCTGCCACGATTTGAGACAGTTCTCAGTGATTTTTTCTTGATAAAATTTTGTAAGCATATTCTATTTGAAGTTTAGATTATATCCATAAACTTTTAGCATAAAAATGGACCTGGAAGTCAATTAAAAATATTGAGAAGCTCTGCGTCAAAATATTTATACAGAGTATATAAAATGCAGTGTTTTCAATAATTTGTTTAACTGACTTCTCAATCCAATTTTAAGGTTAAATTTTTTCGATATAATTTAAACCTCATGAAGAACATGTTAAAAAAAATTCATCAAAACAACCATCGAGAACATCCTCAAATCACGGTGGCTAGACGGCGGTTCTCCTCCGGAATTCCTGTGGTGAATTTTTCTCCTCCATAATATATATAAATACTACGCATTTAGGAATTAATTGCAACTAATTTAATGAATATTCACTATTTGGACTCAATAGTAACCAATTGGGTAAATACTATGGATTTAAGACTTAATTGCAATTAATAACTATTCACTAATTGGACTCAATAGCAATGAATTGAAAATTCAATTTCAATTAGAAGGTTGTACTTTATTATTAAGTAAGTAGATGAGGAGAAATTGATAGATTTGGAGATTATTTGAAATAATCTTATGTGGAAGTCACATTCAATAAGAAGCCGTAAAAAAGCGTAAACTCGAGTACATGAATGGAATGGAGATAGTCTTAGGGTACTAGTGTACTACCTATATGCAGTTCGTATACCATACGACCGTCCCACCATGAGCATCATGCTCCCACTCCCAAAACGATGTAGTTTTGGGCAATTTAAAAAAATCCGTGTGAATAGTACACGCGTGTACATGAACTTTTTTTGTCCCAATCACATGGATGGTGTAACTCGCATGTAAAGATATATAACTCGCATTATTGATCAATGTAATCTAAGCCCATCCAAAATGTAACTTGTCAAGTGTCAATGAAAAAAAGAGTAATTGCACAATTCTTTTAGATAAAACGTGAATATGTTTTGTTTTTAATATCATGGTCATAAAACAATATGTTTTTTTAGAAAAGATCGTTTTTTTGTTTCAATAGCAGGGGGTGATTTTTTAATGTAACTCCTGTTATTACAAATGTAACTTGGGTTTATATAGAATGCAACTTGTTGGAAAATTGAACAATGATTTTTGTGTGTGTGTTTGAGATATTGTAAACATTGATTTCAATGTAAACAATGAAAAATTGATCTTAATAGCTTAATTACTTTTTTCTATATAGTGAATATGTTTTATTTTTAATATTAGGGCATAAAAATGATATAGCTGGAGTTTATTCCGTGTGTAACTCGCATACATTAAGATGCAACTCGCGTATATTAAGATGTAACTCGCGTACATTGAGATGTAACTTGCGCAGAAGAAGATGTAATTACATGATATATTATCAAATGTAACTTCAAAAATCAAAATAAACAAACTCAATGTCTTACAAACCTCTAAAAAAATATAAATTCAATAGTAATTTCAATTGAAGAAAAAAAGTAAAAAAGTAGTGTGTGATTTTTTTTGGCAAAAGTAGTGTATGATTATTAATGCTATATACTTATTTTATGTGGATTAATAAAATTTTGTAATAATTTTTTTCAAAGAAGTTAATTGATCAATTATAAATAAACCAGTTAAAAATAAAGATAAGCAAGATAATATTTTTAGTATTTTGATGGAGATGAAAAACGAATTCAAGAAAATATAAGAAAAGTAAAAAGAAAGAAATAGCATACCTGGAGCATTGGATGACTTGAGGGAATTTGGGAAAAGAACAAAAAACATACGTGGTACAGGCATGCTCATGGTGTGCCGGTACCACAGTATAATTTGTCACGTATATGTCGCGGCCACTCCTCAACTTTCTCTTGGCTTAATAGTGTCAATAGTTTAATGACGTGTTTAATGGCACGGTCTCAGTCGGTAATCTACCTTGCTGGCCTGCCAAACACTTGGCAAGTATATACACGTATTTATCAGCCACTCGCGACCTCCGGCTGTCCTTGTTCGATTCTGTACATCACTGCACCAGCGACTCAGCGAGGCAAAGATCAGCATCCAGCCAACTAAAGACAACGCCGCTGAACAGCCAGCCTCTATCCGGTTGCCCCAACCCGTCGGTCCGCCACACGCCCAACCTGATTTCAGGTCAGCCGCCGCCTGCCCGTCTGCTGCATTGCGGCATCGCCACATCTACACGTCGTATTTTAATCCTGGATTAAAATTTTAATTTCAGATTGTGTTGAATTTTTTTGACCTAGGTGGCTAGTTCCTGATTTAAGTACTGATAATGTATGCTCAAAACTTGATATTAACTAGTATAGTACCCGTGCGATGCACGGGATAATAAATTTATAATATTGCAACTACTGATGCTCTAATAAATTTCATATAAGGGAATTTGATTTATTTACATTTAAGTAAATTACGAATTAATAGATGATGAAAAATAATGATAAAAGACATTTGTGTATTGTACTACACTATAAATTTGAAAAATAAATTAATGGTTTAAATTCATAGATTGTATTATTACTGAATGTAAATATTAGGGGGAATCAAGTGCACTCGGTTAGTTACATTTTAAGTTTATAACTTAGAAAGTGTTTGAATTCACTTCTATTCTATAGAAGTTATTAATTTTAAAGATTACACAAAAAGTGATTAGTAATAAAATTTGAAGTGTTTGAAATGAAAAATTAACTTTACAATTTTAGAAATGACTTAATTTTTAACCTCCTCGGCTTATTTAATTACATTATTCACATAGATTAAAAATAGAAAAGAATTCAAATATACAATCAAGATGAATGTAGTGGACAAAAATGCGACTCTAATAACTTTATTATTTCATCTGCCTCGCTAAAATCTCGATCTTTTATCTTTGAAATCTTAGCCTCTAGACTATTAGAAGTGACTTAATTTTTAATCTCCCCAACTTATTTAATTACATTATTCACATAGACTAAAAATAGAAAACAATTCAAATATATTACTTGAGTACACCATCCTCCCCGTTAAGATTGTCTCATACAAAATATGATAAAATTTGTATTGTTTTAAATCATTCTTACTTTAAATCTCATACCAATTCAATATCAACCACATAAAACCACTTTTCTTATAATCACAACACTCCTTCATGTCCTTGTGTTAGTCGGATGGAGTTAGTACTCTCTCCGTCCTGGAAAGGTTTGACAAATTAACTTTTATTGATCAATGGTAGCAAATTTTGCCCAACCATTATTTTTAACACAGAACTATTTTGAATATGAAAATTATATTAAAACGTTTCTTATTAAATATATTTTCATAAAAGCATAAAAATGTTAATTACATATATATTAATTAAAATAATTGTTAAAAGTTTGTCACCGCTGATCAAGAAAAATCAATATGACGATTTTTTCCATGATAGAGGTGTAATATTACAGGAAAAACTCATAAAATATTCACTTTTTTAAATGATAACAATAAACAAATTACTTGCGGCTTATCCCCACCAAATGTTGGGCACTCTCCGGCCAGGCATCAGCGATTATCAAAGTTATTTGAATTACAAAGTATATTCTATTATGGATCATCATCTGATGATTGTGGATAATTAATGCTTCAATTGAACTTTCAAGAAAAAATATCAACAACATGTAGTAGCATTTATTACTCTAATGCTCTCAAGTTGTGCAACCATTATAAACACAATATTATAAAAACAATATTGTTTCCAAAATGCTACAGGATTCCTGCTCAATTACTCTAATGTTCTCAAACCGTGTAACCTAATGGCGGGATCTTACACCGTACACATGATCTAACGATCTCACAATATAATTTTCCATCAACTACAACCTTCCAAATAATAGCCCTTCCTTCACGTATTTCATTGATGTGATTGATATCTAGTAATCTTGACTTTTTTACAGATAAATTTTCAGAAAATTCCTTTTGTACATTCCAAGTTTTACACGTCGGGTTACACGACGATCAAATTATTTGTATACAGACAATTTGACCGGCGTTTTATAAAGAAAACTGATTTTCACACAGATAAAAAAAATCTGTCACAAACACTTTATGAAAAAATTTGTTCTAAAATGTACGGAGTATATGATACAAACAACACTTTACTTTTTGTCTGTGTGGAAATCAATTTTCTTTATAAAATATCGGTCAAATTGTCTGTGTAGCCGATCAAATTATTTGTACATGCAGAAACAATTTCCTGGACTCAATTCCACATGCAGCCCTAAGAGATTGAAACCTTTGGCCCAGAATTGTGATTAAACTGATTTTTTAATCAGTAACTTCTTTGGATCCATCGACATCTATCATCTCCACCAAGTCGCCGACTCCCTTCGTAGCTTCACCCTCCGCCAGGCACCAGCACGCAGCAGGACAACACCGCCACTCCGCCAGCACGCCACGTCTATCTTCAGCCGCTCTCCGTCGCTCACCCTTTGGCGGTTCGGCCAATCGACCCTTCTCACTTTCACTTCCAACCATCAGTACGTAGTTGCTGTATTCCTTCGGTCCTCTTGTATTGATTAGTTCATTAATGATTTAATTCATAGTTGTTGATAAATATTTAGTTAAATTAGTCATATCGTTGTTTGTTGAAACCTAAGCAAACCCAGAAATCCATTTTGATTCATTCACATGCGTAATCAGAGAAAATATAAGATATCAAATCTTTACCTAAGCTTCTAGAATGGCAGAAAAAATTAATCTTTGTATTTTCAAATACTTGTCACTCTGCAAGTCAATAATCACTCCAGAAATGTTTATTCATTTTGCTACATTTTTAGTTTACAAAACATATCTTAAATTAAAAAATAGTGTTTTTGTATACATAGACGTACACCTATACATTTTTATATGATTGTAGTTTTTGAGAGTATTAATCTCATTGTTTAGCATTAATCCCATTAGCTTCTGTTAGTATTAGCCCTATAGTTTCGAATATAGACTGTTTTACGATTGTGTAACTTATGATACGATGTGGTGGATTGTAGTAGAGTTAAATATTTTGAAGAAGATAATGAAGATATCATTATCAAGCTACATCTTTTAAATCTGTATTTGAAAACCCCAACATTTATGGACTTGTGATGCTTTTTTTTAACCTGGGGGATAAAAATGCATTCTTGTAAGCATCAATAATATTTATGTTAATATTTATTTTTTATGCAATTGGAATTATGTTATGTATATGGAAATTTTGGCCCCACCTGAATTGAAATACTAGATCCGCCCCTGCGGTGACCCATCTGCAGGAGACTGCATTTCAGCGTGTTATTACATGGTTGACCACTGTATTCCCGGGGAAGATGATATTGCTAAAAGAGATAAATTCTTGAGTTTTCGAACATATTGTCCTTGATCTTTGACCAAATTCCAAAATTTAGGCAGACCATAATATTGGATGCTGAGGTTTTTAGGGATTTTATTTTTTCGTCCAGATTTTTTAAAATAGGCATGATGGTGGAAGAAAATAAGAAGAAACTAGAGAAGAGCATATGGGGATGGGTGGCAATTGGGGCGGTGGTGGTGGCATTGGCCATGGGTTTTTTGCATACCCACAATTACAAGTCCTGCACATGCTCCCAGGTTTTTCCTGTCTGATCTCCTCTATAATATCATGACGAATTCTTTATTTTCTTTTTCGATACAATTTTTCCGATAACTAATAATCCAATTGTAATAACATAGATGAAGAAGCAGAAAATAACTTCTGATTACAGCATCTGATTACAGCAATATGAACTCGATAACAAAGAGAGTTCAGAGATACACTTGTTCAATTCAAAGTAATTAGAAAAAAACAACAAACAAGGTGAAAATAGCGGTACAACTGCACCGGCATATGAATCGGCCACACCTGGAATAGAGAATACCCTCTTAGTTAGGGAGGAAGTTGCTAAATGAACAGAGGATGAGTAAGAGGAATTACCTCATTACACACCATGCCCCTTTCTTCTTCTCTTTTCTTCTCCGGTATAAGAAGGTTGTTCGAAAGGTCAAAGGTGCAGGAGTTCGTTCAAGCCGTTGCAGATTCACTAGTGCAGTAAAAATAACAACTAAATAACCCATAATTAATAGTATTCATTATGTGTAAATAATATATATTTAAAAGGAATAGGGAACAGCCACTACACTACCTTCCCCTTAAGAAGTTGACTTGTCCTCAAGGCAATGCAAAATCTGGAAACTGTAACTTCATCACATTAGCTCGTTCCCATGTAGCGTCTTCTGGTAGCAGATTACTCCAATGGACCAGGACCCTCCTTTTCAAGCCTCTGGCACACTTTGACCTCCTGGGTGTCCAAAATTGCTAATGGATAAACTTTAGGACACCCATTCTGATCAACTTCTGGCAGAGTGGGATTCACACTGTATTTATTTTTTATTTTTCCCTTAAGTAGTGAGACATGGAACACATCATGAATTCTAGAATTCAGAGGTAGTTGCAGTTGATAAGCCACTGCCCCAAGGCCCCCAATCTTTCGGATGATCTGATATGGACCAAAGTATTTTATAGAAAATTTCGTTGGTCTTCTGAGCAGCGTGTTCCCTTGTTTAAAGGGTTGGATTTTAAAAAAGAACCCAATCTCCCACTTGAAAGGATCTCTCTGTTCTCTTTGAATCAGCATACTTCTTCATTCTCTCCCGAGACTGAGACATATGTTCCTTAAGGTTTTGGAGTACTTTTTGCCTCTCTTGTACCACTTGCTGTGCAGAATGATTGGATGTCTGCAAATAAGGTCCAACCGACAGTTGGGGCGCTTCATATCCATAGAGAGCCTTAAGAGGAGTCTCCTTAATGGAATGGTGGTGACAAGTGCTGTACCACCATTCTGCAAGAGGCAGCCACTGATTCCACTTTTTAGGGTGATTGTGAGTCATGCATCTTGGATAGGTTTCTAGACACCTATTAAGTCGCTCCGTCTGTCCATCACTTTGAGTGTGATGAGCGGTATTCATACATAGCTTAGTTCCTTGCAATTTGAAAAACTCTTTCCAAAAAGAACTCTGAAAAGCCACGTCCCGATCACTTACTATAGACTCGGGTTCCATGGAGTTTATAGATTTGTTTCACATAGATGTCAGCCAATTTCTCCATTGTTTAAGGGTGAGATAATGCGATGAAATGGGCGTACTTTGTGAGTCTATCAACAATTACCCAAATCACATCCTTCCCATTTGATTTAGGCAATTCCATGATAAAGTCCATGGAAATTTGAGTCCATGGTGCTGAAAGAATCTCCAGGGGTTGCAGAAGTCCAGGATAAGCTACCGCATCATCCTTGCATTGCTTACATTTGTCACACCCCGGTACGTACTCGGTGAAATCTCTTTTCATTCCCTTCAAATAAAAAATCGCCTTCCCCCTTATGTAACTGGAATGGATCCCCGAATGCCCTCCCATGGCCGAAGCATGTATGGTGTGCATGATTTTAATTCTTATGCTGTTCGACTGGCCCACTACTATTCTGCCCTGGTATTTGAGGATGCCTTCCATATAGGAAATAAGTATTGTCCTTAGTTGATAGCAGGGTTTGAGCAATTTATTCAGAAATCTCTTCATCATTCTCATCACTGGAGATAATTTCCTCAACCCATTGTGGCTGAATATGTGTGAGGAGGGAACACATGACACTACTGGACAAGGCATCCGCCACTACATTAGCCTTCCCCGGCTTGTATTCAATAGTAAAATTGTATCCCATCAGCTTATATAACCACTTTTGTTGTAAAACATTGACAATCTTCTGCTCCTTTAAGTATTTGAGGCTTAGGTGATCTGTTCTAATAATGAAAGTCGCCCCCATCAAATAACTGGACCATTTCCCTACCGCAGACATAATGGCCAGCAATTCCTTCTCATAAGTGGACAACACTTGATTCCTCGAACACAAAGCCTGGCTGAAAAAAGCAATAGGCTTCTCATTCTGTAACAACACGGCTCCTGTTCCAGTCATGCTAGCATCTGTTTCCACTATAAAGGGCTCTTGGAAATTAGGTACGGCTAATACATGAGCTTCAGTCATGCATTTTTTGAGAATCTCAAATGCCAGTTGGGCAGAATTATTCCACACGTACCTTCCCTTCTTTGTTAAGTCAGTTAATGGCCTAGCTATAGTGCCATAGTCTTTGATAAACCTTCTATAATAACCCGTGAGTCCCAGAAATGCCCTCAAGGCCTTAAGAGAGGTCGGTTATGGCCATTATACCATCGCCTTTACCCTTTCTGGATCTGTGGCCACCCGATCTTTGCTAATAGTGTATCCCAGATAGTCCACGTGAATACGTGATTGAGTCCAAAAATACATTTGGACCTTTTTGTATATAACTGATGTTCCCTGAGCACCTGCAGAACCTGCCCCACATGTTGACAGTGTTCCTTCATGTTCTTACTGTAAATCAAGATATCATCAAAAAATACCAACACAAATTTTCTAATATACTTGGCAAATATCTCATTCATTATTTTTTGAAAAGTAGCTGGAGTGTTGGTTAGACCGAAGGACATAACCTTAAATTCGTATTGCCCATGAACGTAATCTATCTTCCTCTCTGAGTCTGATCTGAAAGTAACCCTGCCTTAAGTCCAGCTTTGAAAATATGGCGGTCCCATGAAGTTCTAACGGTAAATCTTCAATCACCGAAATTAGCTTTCTGTAATCTATGCACATGCGCCAACTATTGTCCTTTTTCTTGATTAACAAAACTGGTGCAGCAAACGGGCTGGAGCTTGGCTATATGATTTCCTGATCTAGCATCTCATTCACTAGTTTCTCCACTTCATTCTTTAGGCTATGAGAGTGTCTGTATGGTCTCAAGGAAACCGGGTTGGCACATTCCTTTTACTCAATCTTGTGCAGTTGTGCTCAATTTTCCTGGCTGGAGGCAGCCCCTTTGGTTCACTAAACACATCTCTGATACTAAATGTTGTGACCCAAGACACCAACTGATTAGAGCAATATGAACTTGATAACAAAGAGAGTTCAGAGATACACTTGTTCAACTCAAAGTAATTAGAAAAAAACAACAAACAAGGTGAAAATAGTGGTAGGACTGCACCGGCATATGAATTGGCCACACCTGGAATAGAGAATACACTCTTAGTTAGGGAGGAAGTTGCTAAATGAACAGAGGATGAGTAAGAGGAATTACCTCATTGCACACCATGCCCCTTTCTTCTTCTCTTCTCTTCTCCGGTATAAGAAGGTTGTTCGGAAGGTGCAGGAGTTCGTTCAAGCCGTTGCAGATTCGCTAGTGCAGTAAAAATAACTACTAAATAACCCATGGTAAATAGTATTCATTATGTGTGTGTGTGTGTATATATATATATATATATATATATATATATATATATATATTTAAAAGGAATAGGGAATAGCCACTACAAAACTTAACTTAAATTTAATTATTTGTAATATGTTTTTTTTGTCCCTGAGCAACCACACGAGGTGGGGGAGTGCCGGGGAACACTTCCCAATTTTATTAATTAAAATTTGGAATATGGTTTCAATGTCTAATTATTTGTAATGTTGACAGAGTAAAGGAAGGGGTTGCTGAAGTGTGAAAATTTAATCACCCTCACCATTACTATAAGCAGCTCAATCCCAATGAGCAGGAGTCCGTGTAACTAAATATATAGTTCTAGTTAACTGTTAAAGTTTCAATGTGTTGGAGAAGAATAATAGAGCAGAACTCCTTGGTTTTGTCTACCAAAGAGACTATTTATTCTTGAGGCTGTCCAATAAGATTATCAATTAAGACTTATATTCATATCAGCATTGTGCTAGTAGAATTTTACAGAAGAGGGAAAAGTATGATTGAGTCTGGTCGAGTGATTGATGATAGATGCTATATGGTCTTTAATGCAGGATTCTAGAAAATATACAGGGATTGTTGAAGATTGCTGTTGTGATTATGAAACAGTTGACAGTCTTAATGCAGCTGTCCTCCATCCTCTACTCCAAGAGCTTGTCACAACTCCATTCTTTCGATACTTTAAGGTACGTTGCAGTCTTGCAGAGAGGGGCATATTTGCAACATATACATTTCTCTAATGAGAAATATCCTGTAATATGACTAAAATATATGATGTTTCCCTAGATATGAACACCGCCATAATTTTATTGTAATCTTTTCTATTAATGGTCTTCTTTATTTCATTAGTGATAATCCTAATCTCTGGCCAAACAGATAGCTTCTTGGTAATAAAAACATAGTAGTCATTTTTGAAGAAAGTAGTTATGTTTTGTCTAATTTTGGGAAATTATTTATTTGTTAACCAAGGTATGCCAACTAGGCTGAAGAGTTAATAGTACCAAACAATAATTCTGCTTGTGTTAATGTGTGACATAGAGTGTTGAGTGGTAAAACAATGTCACATTCAAATGATGAGTGTGGTTGAAATGCATATGTTGCGTTGGATGTGTGGGCATACTCAGAAATACCTCTTGAATAGTAAGATAATGATAAGATCCTCCAAGAAATCAGAAATTTACAGAAAGATTAACAAGAAAACAGATGAACACTTTATTGATGATGATGAACAATTACAGATGAGAACGAGAAATTCTGGCCGAAGCCCCCAATGAGCCGAAGCCCTCCAAAGAAAGAGAATAGCTCTCGATCTTCCCAAGTCTCAAGACTATCCGTCTAAAAGCCTACTCTACCTGCCCAAGCTTATTCTATTTATACTCAACTTGTACATTTATTATTATTAATACTCTATTGGGCCGGGTCCCTAACAAATCTCCCCCCCTAAACATCCACCTTGCAGCCACAATCTTCTTCTTTTCTTTCATCCTAGCACCTCTCCCTTTCCAATACTGGAGTGAGTGCTGGACTTTTAGTTTTGCTGCTTTCATCTTCTGCCACATACATTTCACAGCATGATTACCACTTGGGTGGCTTTGATCAAGCAGAAACTGGGCTTTACTAATCACCAAATGCTCAATCTTCCATTTGCTAAGATCTCTTGCCTCAGGAAATAACTCCAGCCCTTGGGTTTTAGTGGCTTCACTCCTTGAATTTGTAACCTCTGTCAAGTCTTTCTTGGGACTATATGGTCTGATGTTGGGTAGGTTGGTTCTTTTTAAGATATTTCTTGGGTGGTCACAGGTTCCTTCATGAAGCAGACCTCGAGTTGATTTCCAGACTTCAGAAAATTTTCCCACCATCCTATTCCCGGTCTCATCCTGAGCTGTTATGTGCTGTTGTTCTTGCTCTATACTTTCACAGTATTGCAGGTATCCACCCCTTGTATTCTGTAAAATGTTAGTGATAGTTTCCAAGGGAACATCCATCTGATTTAGGGTAGTATCTCCTTGGATAGTATAATTCTGCTCTTGTTGTCTCCATTTTAAAGTCTGTTTCTGGAAGTTGACTTCCATATCTCCTAGGCCAGTTAACCATTTCAGCCCAAGTACTACCTCAGTAACTCCCAACTCTAACATGTAGTAAGTTTGCTGTATTTCCACTCCTTGTACCATTATGTTAACTCTCTCACACCTGCCAAGATTGAGTATACACTCTCCATTCCCAATCTGCACTTCATGTCCCTGAATATGACTGTAAGGTAGTTTCCATTTCTCAACTAATCTGTGTGATATAAAGTTGTGGGTGGCCCCACTATCAATGAGGATATCCACAAATTCTTCAACTCCTGACCATTTCATTTTCCCTTTCACCCTAAATATTTCCACAGAAGATATGCCCTCTTTATTAAGGGCTGAGAGCTGCATGGTTTTCAGATTCATTGGTGAGGTCTTTTCATCTTCTGAGTCCCCTGATTCTACTTCAGTTTCAACTTCACCTTCAGATTTTTCCATTAGTTTTATCTTATAATTTTTCATCTTGCACACATGTCCCCTACCCCAATTCTCTCCGCATTTGAAACATAGTTTTTTCTTACTTCTTTCAAGCAACTCTTCTTGTGATAACCTAGGGCCATTTCTTTTCTGGTTGGAATCCATCACCTCAGGGTAGCTTTTGTTGTCAATTGTCACCTTTCCCATATTAACAGGCTGGTCAGGATGACTCTTCCATCTGCTTCCTTCACTCCAATTTTGGCCTGAATTCTGAACATTGTACTTGCTCTGTCCTTTATTCTTTCCTTCCTCTCTATTTTTCATAAACAAAACTTCAGTGTTCTTGTTCTCAATGAGGGATACCTTCCTTGTCCATAACTTCTGCCAAAGTTCGTGCGGAATGTAACTTCAGCTCAGCTCGTATATCACGCTTTAAACCTTTCAGAAAAACTCCTTTCAACACCTCTTCAGTCAAATGGCCATGTGAGGCTATAGCTGTCTCAAACTGGTCTCTGTACTCCTGGATAGTCCCTTTTTGCTTTAAACTGAACAAGAGCCCCAACGGATCTTGAACCAGGTTAGGTTGAAATCTTCTTGTCAAAGCATGGGTAAAGGATTCCCAATTCTGATGCTGTGCTTGTCCCTCCCACCACTGGAACCAGCTGAGAGCTTGGTCTTCCATGGTGATGACTGCCACATCAATTTAATCTTCGTCCTCCGTGTTATTCAGTCTGAAGTAGCGATTCATCCTCAACAACCAACCACAAACATCCTCTCCGTTAAAGATTGGCATATCAATTTTCCGTCCTGTGTGATGGTGATGTCGTTGATTCCGATGAGGATCGCGATTATGTCGCGATGTGGAATGGCTAGACGAACTGTCTGAACCGTCTGAACTGTCGTCCTTCTTCGCATGTTTGTGTCGCGAATGATGCTGTTGAGAAGTGCGATGCGATGCCGATGTGCGATGCGATGCAGATGATCGATGCGACGCAGATGAGCGATGCGACCTACTTCTCGATCGATCTTGATCTTTCGCATCCAATCTGGCCATAATCGCTGCCAACATATCCATAGTCTGTTGCTGATTCCGATCCATCTTCTCCTCCAGTCGGTTTTGGTTATCTTCCAACTCAGTCATCCGTAAATCCATTTTTGTCCGTGTCCAGACCATCCACAGAATCTACCGTCTCTGATACCAATGATAAGATCCTCCAAGAAATCAGAAATTTACAGAAAGATTAACAAGAAAACGGATGAACACTTTATTGATGATGATGAACAATTACAGATGAGAACGAGAAATTCTGAGAACGAGAAATTCTGGCCGAAGCCCCCAATGAGCCGAAGCCCCCCAAAGAAAGAGAATAGCTCTCGATCTTCCCAAGTCCCAAGACTATCCGTCTAAAAGCCTACTCTACTTGCCCGAGCTTATTCTATTTATACTCAACTTGTACATTTATTATTATTAATACTCTATTGGGCCGGGTCCCTAACAGATAATCAGGTGAAAGTACCTAATGTAGATAAGATGTAAGAGTGATGCACGACTTAGAGGTGGGAAGAGGAGGGAGGAGAGGGGGAACAACAGACTGGGGTGAATTTAAATCATGATGAATAATATGACACTACTTGGCTGATGTGAGTATGAGTTCAGAGAGTGAAATGGAGGGGGAGCATACGTGTGGATGGTTAATCTTATATTATTTGTCTCCCTCTTTCTCTGTCTAATTTTTTTAAGTTTGATGTTATACGTCGTTTCATGTTAGCCGACTCCAAATTCTTCTTGGACATAAGACTTGAACGTTGTTGTTGCATTTTTTTAATATGCAAGTTTCGTGTTATGAAGTGCATATTATTATAATATGGCAGGTGAAGCTATGGTGTGACTGCCCTTTTTGGCCAGATGATGGTATGTGCAAGTTACGTGACTGCAGTGTGTGTGAATGTCCAGAGAATGAATTTCCAGAGCCTTTTAAGAAACATGGGCTCCCCTTTGATGATCTAAAATGTCAAGAGGGAAAACCACAAGCAGCTGTTGATCGCACTCTAGACTCAAAGGCTTTTAGGGGCTGGATAGAAGTAGATAACCCTTGGACACAAGATGATGAAACTGATAATGGTAATGGTAATTTATTGGCATGCCTTTCATTGATACACAGTAGAAATGTCATCTGTCTCTTAGGGTATGTTTGGAAAAAGGCCAAGGAATGTTATTTATCTCCTGTTTGGTTTCATCTAGGAAAATTCAGAGGGGAATCGAATATGATTAACATATACTTTTTTACATATGTTTAAAGTTTATAATTTTTATTAAAATAATTTGTTGAGTTTGTGAAAATGTTTTATTTGTCTCTACATTTCTTCTCTTCCAGTTTTTCACTATATTTCCCCTTTTCTTTCTATAGCATTTTCCGAGTTCCAAATGGACCCTTTATCTTCATCTTTTTATATGTCAATTATTTTATCAATAGTTTTTTTTTTTAATTTTTTTATTTTATCAATAGTACTTGGCAGTGCTGACACTTTCCTTTTATTAACTTCTCACTACATTCTATTTTCAATCATAATCTTGTTTGTTTTGGTAAACTATGCACTTAAATGTTATTTCTTCTGTCCGACTGTCCCAAATTGACGATCCTATACTTTTTTGAGTTCAAATATTAAGAAAGTGTGGTAGAATGACCCATATAACCTTACTTTTTATACTGTTCATTCATTTACTTTTACTGTTCATAAAAAGGAGGGGTATAAATGGTAATCTACTATAATTTCCTTACAAAATGGGAAACATGACTATCGTTTTGGGACAGCCAAATAGGAAATCATGATCATCATTTTGGGACGGAGGTAGTACATTTTATAGCTATTTTTCTTGAGGACTTTCATACAGCTTGGCAGCTTGCCTTTAGCACGAGTGATATGCAATATACAATGAAATGACACTGATGATCTCTTTCCTGACAAGCATTGTCTCGCAGGTGAAATGACCTATGTAAATCTCTTATTGAACCCTGAACGATACACAGGCTATACTGGACCATCAGCCCGAAGAATATGGGATGCAGTTTATTCAGATAATTGTAAATGTGAGTTTTAACCGCTTAAGCTTCCAAACACTATCTTTGTCCTGATGTATTGCGGCCAGTGAATAGCGTTTTCAATGCTTATTTATATTTTTCATGTGATAGATGCACCTGGAGAGATATGCGAGGAGAAAAAAGTGCTTTATAAGCTAATATCTGGTCTCCACACATCTATTTCAACACACATAGCTGCTGATTACCTACTTGATGAAACTAAAAATTTGGTTGGTGCTTTAGTTTTAGCTCCATCTTTTATTTGTATGTGTATTTACATCGACCTATATTTTCCATATGCTCTTCCAATACTGAATTTTATTCCTCAGAAAAGTAGATATCTACCTTTGATAGAATCTAAAAAGAGACCTTGCATGGAGTCATGGACCTTAGTCTCTGTTTGGATTGACAGTTTTGGAGGGGAAGTCTTTGTAGGGCTAGTCTAGTCTATATTATTCATTCTCTGTCTCATTATATTAGTCTATTATCACTCACTAGTTATTTTTCAGTTTGTCTACAATTATGTAAATATTTCGTTTTTTGGACTCCACTTATTGTCTAGTTTTTCAAACTTTATTCTCTCTATTTGACTTTTTTTTAATCCGGTGGGCAAACCACCTAAGTCGGTGGGGCAAATGTCGCAGAACATTTGCCTATCATTGCTTTCTTATACGTCCAAAATCAAAGGAGACCTAAAAATTGGCAAAGAGGTAATACATATCAGAGATTTTTCTAAAAATTGTAAGGCTTACATAATATGTGATCATATAACATTTCAATTACCTTCTATCTGTTATAAGAAACAATCTAGTTAATTATTTATCAGGATATAGGCTAGGCCTCCACAGCATTCCTCTCCAAAACACTCCACTATTCCATGCAAACACTCTTTCATTTCCTTTTGAAAACCTCCTTTTTTTTGCTTTGTTAAGATCCTAACGTTGTTCATACACTTTTCAGTGGGGTAGAAACCTGGATTTGATGTATGATCGTGTTCTGCAATTTCCTGACCGTGTCAGAAATCTGTATTTTACTTTCCTCTTTGTTCTTAGAGCCGTGACAAAAGTAAGTGCCCACCATTTATATGGTAAATTGCTAATATAAGAATCACGGTTGGCATATTTTCTGGTTTCTTACTTCGTCTTTGATATGACACTTAGGCTACTGATTACTTGGAGCAAGCTGAGTATGACACAGGTAACCCAGTGGAGGACCTGAAAACACAGTCTCTCATGCGGCAACTTGTTTACAATGAAAAACTACGAAAAGCTTGTCCGGTTCCATTCGACGAAGCTAAACTCTGGAAAGGCCAGAGTGGGCCTGAGCTAAAGCAGCAAATTCAAAAACAGTTCAGGAATATCAGGTTGTTTTTGCCTAAATGGAAACTAATTTGCATTATCCATTCATCATGACTTAGGCTCGGTCTTTTTTCCTGGGAAATAACTAATTTGCATAAAATGTTTTTCGGGAAAAGTTTTTCATCTGAAAATATATTTTGAGGAAAATGCTTGTTTCAGGAATAGAAATTATAAAAAAATTTCAGGAAAATGACCTCTCGTTTTGATTCTATGGAAGCGTTTTTCTGTTCCGAACACAAGGGCCTTAAAACATTTACCACCACTGTCCCTGAAAAAGAATCATGTTTTTATAACCAATCAGAGAGGGACTATATTTTCCTCTAAACAAAAAGAACCTTAAAACATTTACCACCACCGTCCGTAAAAAAGAATTATGTTTGTATAACTAATTAGGATAACTGATTCTGATTTGTAGTACAAACATGGTTCTTTTTTTGGGTGGGGGATTAACTAAATTACTAATGGGGGAATATATAAATTGCAGTGCTCTAATAGATTGTGTAGGATGTGAGAAATGCCGCCTCTGGGGGAAGCTTCAAGTTTTAGGCCTTGGAACTGCCTTAAAAATCCTCTTCTCCGTGGATGGTCAGAAGCACCCAATGCCACCGGTGAGCTTACCTGGAGTTGTTTTAGGAAAAAATATATCACCACACAAACTCGTATCTCAACACTTCTGTGTTTAACAGCTGCAGTTGCAAAGAAACGAAGTCATTGCCCTGATGAACCTGCTGAATCGCCTATCAGAATCACTCAATTTTGTCCGTGAAATGAGTCCAAACATTGAGAAATCATTGGAGAGACTTGTTTCTGATCATTCCGTCTCAGTAATTAGTTCTTGGCGAAAAGCAGTGGAAGCTGTAGTAGGGATTCGGTAGGAAACTACTCTCAACTCTTTCGGGTCCATTTTGGAACCCAGAAAATGTCAGGGAAAGAAAATTAGGGAGAAAATAGTAAGGAAAATTAGAATGATTTTTGTTTTTGTTTTGTTTGGGAAAATAAATCAGATTTAGATCCAAGGCCTAAAATAAATTTATATCCTGAAATTTGATTTATTTGTTTATTACTGAACACAGGCAGTATATAGACTTAAGAAATATAAACAGACACGCATCATGTGAAGTTTTTTTATAATGTAATCTTATTGCATTTTCATTTTTATTTTTCGAGTCAAAACCATGCATGAGAAATTAAGATTCCTTGTTTTTTTTCCTTTGCCTAGTACTTTTCTGGATCCCAACATACCCTTAATGTTTTACATCACGTCCTGATATAAGACTTGATAAATCAGACCAAGATGATATAACACATGTTTCTTTTGTTTCAGGTCAAGGAGCTCCACCACGTGATGATCATCCGCCGTGCTTGGAATAGATTTGAGTACCCATTAATACCACAATTGGGAACATATTCATAGAACTTTAATATTTTATTAGACTGTAACAAAGAGAGGTATCTTATGTATGTATAGGCATGGCTGTAAGCAGAACATGAGAGATTACAAAGGTCAAAATTGAGGAACCATTTGTGTCATTTGATGTGCTTTTGTACAGGTGGCTCAAATGTGTTTTTTGAATGTAAGATTGTAAGCTGTTGTTGAAATTTGTTGGGAATGAAATTACTACCCATACTTTGATGTTTGGCCTATTTGTTGCATTTAACAAACTGCAGGAGAAAACAGTGTTTGTAGCCAACAAGATTGAAGCATTGTTATGAAATATGAAGGAATAGTTTTCCTTATCTTCAAAAGATCAATGATGGTTGTACTATATTCGATGTCACTCTGCCACTAAAAACAAATTCAAAAGACCTGAAAAAGTTAACACTAAAAACTAGGGGTGGGCAATTCGGTTTACGGTTCGGTTTTCTTCGGTTTCGGTTCGGTTTTGGTTTATTCGGGTTGGGACAATTTGTACCAAACTAAAACCATTTGTGTTTCGGTTCGGTTTCGGTTCGGTTCCGGTTCGGTTCGGTTTGAAGTTCGGTTTACCAAAGTACAAAACATTATGTTTAATTTAGTTTGATTTGATACGTTTGCTTATGTTTATTATTTTATTTGATTAAGTTCTATATTTCGAATTAGAAAATGAAAGTTGATTAAGCCCATCTTATCTTTTTTTAATTTATTGATTATTTAAATAAAATGTAAAAGAAAATAAAAGATAGAAAAATAAATAATAAAATATTATAAATTGAAACTTCTAACATCTTTTTTATCACTACAAAAAATTCACTTCTTACAAAAAATAAGATAGTTGATTAGCATTTATAATATCACATAAAGTATTCATAAAACCTAAAAGAGTCAGTGGTACAAATGTTGTAATATTCACAATTTTATTCAAATGAATCATGTATAAATATAAATGCAATTTGCTACTGTTATTGCCAAACATAATAAATACAAATATGTCGTATTAGCTAACTTTTTCACAATGATTATATGTAATGTGTAAAAGTTAAAATGATATGAGTATATGCTTAAATATATGTATTTTCATGTCTAAATTATTTATTTGTATCTTAAAAATGAAGAGTCATGAAGGTAAATACAAAGTGTGTGTGTGTCTGTGTTGTTCGGTTCGGTTTACGGTTTTCCATTTTAAAGCAAACCAAACCAAAGTACCAAAACATTTGGTTTGAACAAATGTTTACCAAACAGTTTACTTAAGTAAACCTAAACCAAACCAAATCAAACCACCAATTTTAATAATATATGAAAGTTTTTTAAGTTTCTTTAGTTCGGTTCGGTTTTCGGTTTTTATCGGTTTCGGTTCGGTTCGGTTCGGTTTAATACGGTTTGAAAGAAATAGTACCAAACTCAAACCAAATTGCATACGGTTCGGTTTCGGTTCGGTTTAGTTCGGTTTGGTACGGTTCGGTTCGGTTAAACCAAACCGTTATGCCCACCCCTACTAAAAACTACGGAGTATTTTTTTGTGGCACTAATTTATAGAGTACCAGTACCACCTAGGGATAGACCGGGACGGGCCGGCCTGACCCAGAACCTGGCCCGACACTGTGAAGGCCCGACCCGGCCCGATGAACCAGGACTGGGGCCCAACTCGGGGTGTTTAACAGGTGGGCTACGGGCTCTGATTTTAGTGGACCGGCCTGGGCCCGATTTTTATTTTATTTTTTTGGCATTGGGTTGCTTGCTAGGTGGGTGGGGCTGGGTGGTTTGGGGGTGGGGATTGAAATTAATTGGAAAATACCCAAAACAAAAATTGTAGCCCGGCTTCGACCGGTACCGGGCTTGAATATTTTGGACCGGGAGCCCGCCCAAACCCGGAGCCCAGCCCTGTTCCGGTCCTGGTCCATGCCTAGTACCATCGTTGCTCTTGAAGATATAAGGATTACAAGGTGATACATTAAAAAAAGAGAAAAGGGTCAAATAAGGCTTTTTACAATTATGAAATTGTCACATAAGGTCATGCACTCAATAAAGTGTCATATAAATGCGTCTACTTATAAAAAATAATCGAATGAGTAAAAATGACCCTTTGACAACCTCGTGATCCCTGTTTTAGCGTACGTCTAACTATCTTTTTAAAATAGATTATATGGTTGACATGGAATATTTAGTTATGATTGACTTAAATACAAGATAAAAATAACGACATGTGAGCTAAAGTCGTGATTAAGAGGCTGTAAACGGGTCATCAAGAGTCATCTGATTGCTTTTTATAAGTAGATCTATATATATGACATTTTATTGAGTACATGATCTTATGTGATAATTTCGTAATAGTAGAAAATCTTATTTGACCCTTTTCTCTTAAAAAGAATTACAAGGTATGTTGGCTTTGTTCGGAACTCGAAAAATGGCAAGAAAAATAGAAAAATACCTAGGAATTTTTTAAATATCTGATTTTACTTTAAAATATATAAAAGAAAATCAAATTCGTCTGACGACTTATTATATTTCATAATCATTACATAATAAAAGCATATAAATCAATAATTAAATATGTGTGCAAAACTTTTTTTCACACTTAATTCATTTCATTTCACACAATAAAGCATATGTTTTTGGGATTGAATTTTGTTGATTTGGTTATTTAGTTTGTTCTACTCCAATTTAATTTAATTTAGTAGTTGTAAACATTAGTGTATTTTGAAGAAAATAGTTGTGACTTTTTGGAAAAAAAAATTGTTAATTAGAATATAATGTTTATTGTCTCTATAAGTATTTTATGTAATTAAAAAATAACCCAAACTGAAAAACAATAAAAAGTCAAACACAAACGCATTATTGTTTGATTTGGCTGTGTTTACTGCAACCAACTCCTAAACCTCGGCTTAAGTTTGGGCTAAAAGTAAGACTTGGCTGTTTGGGAAAAGGAAAATGAGATCACAAGTAGGGAAATGTAAAGTGATAAAATTTAAAATATAGGATAATTAATTTCTAACCATTGTTCATTAAAATTTCCTTAGATCTAAATGTACGAGGATCACAAACAGTACCTGATCTTAGGATTCTTAGCTCTAAGCTAAGCTTGCCGTCTTCATTCTTTCATTTCACTGTTCATGGTCTCTTTCACTCTATCATCCTCAATCAGAGAATCAACGTCATAATCAGCGAGAATTCTAACAAGGCAAATCCCACCCTCCTCTCCGTCAGTCCGTTGCCAGATCCATCCAGGTACGTTGTTATTGGTTAATCTATCTACCTACTTTAATTGCAGCAACTAGTTCTGAAATGAAAAACTGTAGTCGGGTCAATGTGTCCTGGTGATTGTTAGATCCATGTGAATTTATGATATCCGGAAATGCAGTCATTTTCCGTGTTTGTTTGGGAGATTCTGCATTTGCGGCATGTCTTAAGCTGCCTTCCCCTGCTGGGTTCTGACATTCTGATTGCTTCGATTGCATTGCATTTTTACTTTTAGTTTGGTGCTCCCTGTTTCCGCTTTAATTCATTTTGAAAATTTGATGTTGAATTTGCAGATTCATGATTTCTGCACCATTACTGGCGGTTTAGATCCAGTGGGGGCTTAGCGATGTTGTTTTTATCAATCTCGAGGGGATTCTCCTCAGCTTTGTTATATCTCATTCTCATTTCACACTTTTGTAATGCTTTTTATTTGCCGGGCACATACATGCATACATACTCCACTGGTGATGAAATCTATGTTAAAGTGAATTCATTAACCTCAATTGAGACGGAACTTCCCTTCGGCTACTATACACTTCCTTACTGCAAACCTCCAAATGGAATCAAGAAAAGCGCTGAGAATCTTGGAGAGTTGTTGATGGGAGATCAGATTGATAACTCTCCCTACCGTTTCCGGATGAATGTGAATGAGTCAGTTTACCTCTGCACTACTCCACCATTGAAGGACCACGAAGTGAAGCTCTTGAAACAGAGGACACATGATCTTTATCAGGTAAATATGATTCTTGACAATTTGCCTGCTTTGAGGTATGCCACTCAGAATGGAATGACGATTCAATGGACAGGATATCCTGTTGGGTACACATCACCAAGCAGTAATAGTGAAGATTACATTATCAACCACCTGAAGTTTAAGGTTTTGATCCACGAGTACGAGGGAGCTGGAGTGAAGATAATCGGTACTGGGGAAGAAGGTATGGGTGTTATAACAGAGACTGATAAGAAGACGACTGCTGGTTATGAAATTGTTGGCTTTGAGGTTGTCCCTTGCAGTGTGAAATATGATCCTGAAAAAATGGTCAAGCTTCACATGTATGATGCCACTGCGTCAATACAATGTCCACTGGCGATTGACAAGTCTCAGGTTATAAAGGAGCAAGAGAGGATATCATTCACTTATGAGGTTGAATTTGTTAAAAGCAATGTCAGATGGCCATCAAGATGGGATGCATATCTCAAGATGGAAGGTGATCGTGTTCACTGGTTCTCTATTCTCAACTCCTTGATGGTGATCGTCTTCTTGGCTGGAATTGTTTTTGTTATCTTTTTGAGAACTGTCAGAAGGGATTTAACAAGGTATGAGTTTAGCTAGGAGTGTAAAAAAATCAATTTAATTAGTAAACCATATTATTGAAATATACTCCCTCCATCTGTCTTCATAAGATATCGACCAAATCACACCGTTTAAGAAATGCATTGTTTGAGTGGTTAACTTAAAAAAATATTTTACCTAAAATACATCATTGAATACGAAATCATTTTAATTAGAATTTAGAAAACTTGGTGAAAATGTAGTTTGCCAAAAAAGGACAAATGAAAACGAAGAAGGAATTTCGGTCAGAAAGAGCCTATTTTCTTGGACTTATGTCATTCCCAGGTTATAGAACAACAACATTCCCAGATTATACTCGTAATAAAATAATAAAATACACATTATCAAATCAAAAGATAGCAGACCAGACCAATTTAGACCGGAACACACATAAACAGATGATCTAGACCAAAATTAATAGGATCGGACTAGACTAGGTCAGACCACTTATGAGCAAACCAGTAAATTTCAGTCCAAATGAACAGGTCCTAGAGACATATAAATAGGAACAAGGAGAGTATTTGAAGCGATTTGAAGTGCTAATACTTGATACTTGGATATTAATCCATTTGAATATACTGGTATATGTATTTGATTTGAAAACAATTAGAATTGAAATATATATTTTCAATCATATTTAAAATGTAATCATGATTTGAATCAAGAGTCTTAATTGATTTTTTACAACCCCTAGGTATGAGGAATTGGACAAAGAGGCTCAAGCCCAGATGAACGAGGAACTCTCTGGGTGGAAGTTAGTGGTTGGTGATGTGTTCAGAGAACCAAATCACTCCAAGCTACTCTGCGTTATGATAGGAGACGGGGTTCGTATAACAGGAATGGCAGTTGTGACTATTCTTTTCGCAGCCCTTGGTTTTATGTCACCAGCTTCTAGGGGCATGCTGTTAACAGGGATGATAATGCTTTACCTGTTCTTGGGAATATCAGCTGGTTATGTAGGAGTCCGGCTATGGATAACCATCAAAGGGAATCCAGAGGGATGGAAGTCAGTTTGTTGGGCGAGCGCGTGTTTCTTCCCGGGCATCGTTTTTATAATACTCACGGTTTTGAATTTTATTCTATGGGGAAGCAATAGCACAGGTGCAATCCCCATTTCCCTATACTTCAAACTCTTTGCACTATGGTTTTGCATTTCGGTCCCACTCACTCTCTTGGGAGGACATATTGGGACCCGGGCGGAGCCCATCAAATACCCGGTCCGAACCAATCAGATCCCCAGAGAGATCCCATCCCGAAAGTACCCCTCATGGATTCTTGTTCTCGGAGCGGGAACTCTCCCGTTCGGGACACTCTTCATAGAACTCTTCTTCATCTTATCAAGCATATGGCTGGGACGGTTCTATTACGTATTCGGTTTCCTCCTCATTGTTTTCCTCCTCTTGGTGGTTGTTTGCGCAGAAGTATCTGTCGTGCTCACATACATGCATCTCTGTGTTGAGGATTGGATGTGGTGGTGGAAGGGGTTCTATGCCTCCGGTTCCGTTGCTATCTATGTCTTCTTGTATTCCATTAATTATTTGGTGTTTGACCTCCGGAGCTTGAGTGGGCCCGTGTCTGCCACGCTGTATTTAGGATATTCATTGATAGTGGCGGTTGCGATCATGCTTGCCACCGGCACTATTGGTTTCCTCACATCGTTCTACTTTGTCCATTACCTCTTCTCGTCTGTGAAGATTGACTGAGCCACATTCTTTAATGAACTGGCCACGGGCCATCTTCGTTTAAAGCAGGAGAAGTATCTCTTTTTCTACAGATAGCAAAACAAATTCGTTATGCTTTTATGCAATATATATTTGACTCGTTTAAATGACCCTGTGAATTTATTAGCTGTTTTGTGTTCGACGTTTTTTATATCTTTCTGCATTAAAAATTTGTTGTAGCAGTTGCACGTCCATTTTTTTGGACAATGTATTGAAATTTGAATGGCACATTTTAGTAACTTAGTTAACTCGTGTGGTAATTATTTATAAGGCTTTGATACCGAAATAAGACTTTCTATCTATAGATAATAGTTCTAATCGCTCCAATATAATTTAGGGAAAAGGGGCAAATAAGGCCACGTACTAACCAAAAAGGGTCAAATAAGGCCTTATTTATGAGACTCTGTTCGGCCTTCTCCATTTGGGGTGGTTCCCGGTGGAAGTTTTTGATGAAAATTTTTTAGCATCTTATTCAGTAAGTCTAGTTTACTCATACCAAATTTCAGCTAACAATTCAATCGGGAAGGCATTCAAATGAATTCTTGAAGATAACTGTGCTTTTAACTGCGCAGTTATATTAGAGAATTCATTTGAATGTCTTCTCGATAGAATTTTTAGCTGAAATTTGGTATGAGTAAACTAGACTTACTGAATAAGATGCTCAAAAATTTGCATCAAAACATTCCACAGGGAACCACCCCAAATGGCGATGGCCGGACAGAGCCTCTTAAATAAGGCCTTATTTGACCTTTTTTGGTTAGTACGTGGTCTTATTTGCCCCTTTTCTCTATAATTTATAATGTAGAAATTTTGGATTGAAAGAATGAAAGTCTGGAGATAGAAAAAATGGGAAAGTTTACTCTGTCATGTTAATTCATGTTTAAGTAATCATTTGGATGGGAATAAAAATTGACTTAGGGTTTCAAATGTCTCAGCTTTTGACTTAAAAAACACTTATTTTACTAGACACTACCAACTTTTATTTTTCTCGGCTTTCGTGTCAAAAGTGCTTTTACTTTTTCTATTACACAAAAAAAACTTATTTTACCAAATACTGCCAACTTTTACTTTTCAAAATCACTTTTCTCAAACACTATCAACTTTTATTTAATCACTTCTCCCCATTTCATTAAAAAACACTTTTTTTTAAAGCAGAACCTGTTGATACAGACCCTAAGAAGAGTGAATGATGAAAAGAAAATTTAAGGTCTACACAGAAAAGAGGTAATGAATTAGGGAGTTTATAGTAGAAGATAAAATGAAAGATAAATGTAGATTTGTGATAATGACATATTTCTAATGAGATGTCCCATTAGTACATCTTTTACACAATTATAAATATGAAGAGGATAGACTATCATAGGTATAAAAATTTGTTGGTGTAACGTATAAGGTTTATGAAGATGTACTATACGATCAAGTTACTATACTAAGTTACTGTACTAATTGGACCCAAAGCCTCTGCCTTGCTTTAGAGCAATATAATGTGGGGTGTCTGGCTTTTGGCAACTCTCCGATAAAAAAATCAACGGCCGGTGATCGTGAGGTCCGTATCTCGAGAGTGCCCTTCTTCTAATCCGTCCATCTGTTGTCGCAAGGCACCTTTGTTGCACGACAGAGGGTTTGAATCTGCACTAATTCACTCTCTACTTCTCTAACGTTCGAGTCTGTCAAATAAACGTATGTTATCTCTCTGTTAGTAATCGTCTCCTACTTAGGGGTATTTGGATTTGTTCTTAAAAGTGCTTCTACTCTTTCAGAGAGTAGAATTGAAGCAGAGTTTAGAATGTTTGGGTGAAAGTAAAAAGTACTTGTGAGTGCTCCAAAACACTTTAGAAGCAATTTTTTAGAGTTAGGGAGACCTATGATCACTGATTCTAATTCTACTTCAGTTTAAAAAAGAAGCTCTCCTACAAAAAAGCAGAATCAATTTCAAATGCGCCTTAGAGCATCACCAATGAGAGTTGTTCACATTAATAAAAAACGACCTCATCATCAACTCACCATTGCATCTCATATTTCCGTCTCCAATGCATCAGAGCTGGACTCATGTGATGCTGATGTGTCAAAAATTAATGTGTACAATGTTACCAAGACTGTTTTGGGATAACAGTGTATTTGACATGCTGACTAGGCAAACTTGGACGGAGAAACATGCAAAATGTAGAAAAAAGCTGTGAAATTCTTCCACCCCTACCAAGCTTTACACGCAAAACCTCAGCCACGATATATATTTTCAGTATTGAGTTTTTCTTTTTCCCAAGAAATCCCAGAATTAATTTTACATTTAATCTTTCTCTTCGCGTCAAGAATACTTTAATTTATTCCCAGGTTCCAACAAAGTAGATTTGTCTTGGGGAGGGGAAAATGTTTCATTTTTTGTATACATTGTGCCGTATCCACAAAATTTCTCTTAAAATTACTTCCTCTCTAAAATAGATTTCACAATTAGATCTGTCAACTCAATAGCTGAACTCGGAAGGAAGCCAAACTCAAAAGGGGTTTAAGAAAACACTCCAATTATTGGCGGCACGAGAAATTTTTTCCTGTTGATTTTTATCTATTTTCAAAACAAAATTAGTTTTTTTTGTATAATTTAGATACTTTGAGAAAGTTACTTGCATATTCAATCATATTATCAAGAATAGTGATTTCAAAATTATAAAATTTGTTCTCGGAGAGGTTTTGCGCATGAATAATTAAAACAGAGGAGAGTTTGCATTTTTTAAATCACAAATGATTAATGCACCAAATTTATATATCACGACGGATTGATGCATTAAACCCCAAGTAAATGGGGGGGGGGGGGTAACACTATTCATTGGAACATTATTTTGAATTCACAGTTTATTTACATCACTATTTTAGTTGACATGTGTGAAAGTTTCTTCCATTTTTTTATCTCTGCAAAATATTATATTTGTGAAAGGTGGAATTTATAGTATAATAGTTTGCAGAGATAAGAAAATAACTCGGAATAGCAGGTCATCAACCGGTCGGGGACCAATGAATGAAGATGAGCTGCAAAGGTTGGATTATTCATGAATAACGAAAAGGTCGGACTATTAAAAGAAAATCGCTAAAAGGTTGGATTATTAATTTCTATTTTCCCTTTTAATAATACAATGACATCCCAGCCAGTGGCCAGCCTTAATTACTCTGCTCAGCCTTAATTACTCTGCTCAGCTAATCTACCTCGTCTGGGTTTGACAGATATCGGCCCTGACGTCTCTCGCCCGCTTTTGTCTCCCTTTTTTCTTTGTTTTACTGATTATTGGCGGTGATTGCATTTAGAGGAGACAAATCTGATTGTAACCTTCCGTTTTTCCCATCTCCTATGAAACGCCAGTTAAAGAAATTGGGAATTTCTTGCAGTTTTAACCGTTCCCTAACTTTCATTTTAACGACGTGGTTTCATCTGTTGGAATAATCTAACATCATCGATTTGCAAAGGTTCATTTCCGCTGCTCAGCACTGTTCTACATGTAAGGCTTCCGGCTCGTAGCCCTTGCTATTTTAAAGGTCCTATTTTTATTACTCTGTATTATTTGTGTTTGTTCAACTTTGTTTCCCATATGATAGAATATTGCTCTATAGAACATTTGTTAAAAAGGTGTGTGCATATCGTGATCATATTTTTTGATTTGCAAGTCATACGTTTTCCTTTCAATGTTCCATAAACTATAAAGTATTAGGCCATTGTGTTATGTTTCAGAATGCTTAGTTTGATAGTCATGTGTTTGAAAAAATGCCCACAAGACACACTTGATAATTTTAAATGTTTGGTCGTCTTTCAATTTTGCTGTAATATTTGCACCTGATATTCTCATCTCTTTTGAAACAGTATGATGGTTTTCATATCTTTAATACATTTTGTTGATGGTGGTTAAGAACTACTCTTTATGCATTACCTAAGCTCCTCTTTATGTGATACAGGTTGGCGTACCTTGATTTATGCGGTTTTTAGACAACGTTGATGTTGATGGTGGTTAAGAACTACTTGAACTTATGGAAATGAAAAGACACGTAAGATGGAATTTTAACGTTTTTCTTACATGTAAGTGCAATTTTATATTTTCATGCATGATATATAAAAATAGCTTTAGCGTTCTAGCATTGTGTTTATAATAATCTTATACGGTTTCTTAATTGCAACAAGTTTCCTGGGGATGACATCCCTATTATTAGAGAATCTACTTTATCAGCTTTGTGAAGTAAAACTTAGGAAATAGCCAATAGGATAGAGGTTATTTTGATGTTAATGGATATTGTAGATGAATATATTATATGATCTTCATCATGTTCGTCAGCATGATAAGGCATATTGATCTAATGCCAAACGAAAGCTTATTTTGTAATTTCAAGTAATAAGCCAGAAATTGCAATTTAATTATATCATGCATATACCCAGGAGTCATTAATGTCTAGGGATAAATTTGCATTCAAAAAACTTCTATTTGCCCACATTAAAAGAACACAATAGGCCTTTTACATAGGTTTTCCCATGAAGCCTAGTAGCCAACTAAATCACTCTTCCTCCCAAAGAAAAAGGTCCATTTGGATTTTAAGAGACCTCATTGGATTTATATAAATTATATCCTTTCAATTTTCATAAAAGGTGCAAGTCCGGTTACACTTTTGTACTACAGGAAAAAATAACTAAGCGTCTTCATTACGAAATGTTATTGGGCATTGCCCTAATTGCGGGACGCGCTTATCGAAAACTAGTATAAAATGATAAAGCGCAAAAATGGTGTGGGGATGGTTCTCTTTTTATGCAGATAAGATTTTACATTTTCCATCATTTGCAATGGAGCCAAAGATTCATTATTTTTTGGCTTGAGAATATGATGGAATAAAGCAAAATGGCTCACTAAATTGTTTGCGCTTCTTTGTTATGAAGCAGTAGTCAGTCCATGCAATTTTGGACGCGATTTTCACTATCGGTCATCCGGAAACAGTCTCTCTATGCTTTAGTACAGGGGTAAGACTGCATACATCCAACCCCCCTACCCCACCGTAGGTGGGAGCCTTTGCGGCACTGGGGTAAATGAAAATGAATGAAATGAATCATTGTTTTAGCTGTATTACTAAACAAGTTTACCACCTAAAATAATGTTTTTACATCAAATAATAAACTTCAGCCTCAGTTCATTCTGCTACACATAGTTTAAATGTAATTGAGTTGCTTTTTCACTTTCTTGTATGTCTCACTATTAATCTCAACAAATATGTAAAAAATATCTTCTATTATGATCATTGATCACTAAAACTATTATTATTTCTATCGCGTATAAAAACGAGAAAACTACTATAATATGATTAAAAGATGTGTTGATTTTTTAGTCCTTCGATTAGCGTGTGAAAGACACTTTTGGTACATATTTTTGAAAGTTTCCACATTTACTCCCGTTACTTTCATAAAAGTGACACCTTTGATCCTCCATTTTTTGTGTCAAAATCGTAGTGGAAAGACTAAAAATGTCAATTTGTTAATACTCAAGGGACTACTAAATGTGGGAAAATTTGAAGCCGAGGACTAAAAGTGTCCCTCGCATAATAGTTGAAGGACCAAAAATGGAAAAATTGAAGGTCAAGTACTAAAATTGTCACTGACACAATAGTCGGGGGACTGAAAGTGGTGTTTTATATGTATGACATGTATTTTGATTCTACTTTTTTCTCACGAATTCAATTATGACTCATATAAAGTCATGTGTAAGTTTGTTAGTCTTATATTTGGAATGTATGAATATTTTAGTCACATTTAAATAAACTTCCCATAAGAATCACATTTTTCCTTCAAACATTATTTTGTGATATACTACTTATTAATCATGATTTTGTTAACATGTTTCCTTCCCAAAAAAAAATCACAGCACACTTCGGCATCATTTTCCTTTCTAGTTTAGAGTGTGTTTCAATCTTTCTCGAATCAATTGTATAATCCCTATTTCAGTTTGTTTGCAGTTGCAATTTTCTCAGTTGAAAACTTTTGAGCAATTGAATTGAAGAATTGATTACTGCACACTCACCATTCAAGTTCTGTGTAAATGAGAGATTGAGTTATTGCACTCTTCTTTGGTACGTACCACGTAGTATTTGTTAGTATCATTACTCATAAGGTTTCTCCATATTTGTGTGTGTATACTGAAAGTAAGGGACAGTAGCATAATTATCATCATATTAATATCCTTGATCTCCTTTTAGCTGTATAAGATGTTTCTATAAGGTAGTCAACACAAGAAACCTAAGGTAAGTCGTAATTCAAAACTTGTCATTTCAAATTGTCAATGCATGCGGATGCCTTAATGACTTATGAAAGTACTGTTATTATGATTCTAATGCTAGAATTTTTTGAACATACATATTTTCTTTCCGCAATTCAGTTCTAGCTCTTTTCCATCATTTGCAATGGAACCAAAGATTCATTATTTTTTGGCTTGAGAATATGATGGAATAAAGAAAAATGACTCACTAAACTATTTGTGCTTCTTTGTTATGAAGCAGTAGTCAGTCCATGCAATTTTGGACGCGATTTTCACTATGGGTCATCCGGAAACAGTCTCTTTGTGCTTTAGTACAGGGGTAAGACTGCATACATCCGACCCCCCCTTACCCCACCGTAGGTGGGAGCCTTTGCGGCACTGGGATAAATGAAAATGAAAATGAATATGAATTCAGCTCTAGCTCTTGAAGCTGATGGAAATGTTTGCTTGTCTGTAGATGATAGGTTTTGTGTGCACTGGTACACAAGTCGTGAGAGACATGTCAACAAAGATCTTTGATCCCGTAAACATCTAGAAAATGGGCGGGTCAGCGAATTATCTGTGCATAAAATGTGATGGAGGGGGGAAGATGTTAGTCTGTAGTGATAGTAGTTGTCCTATAGTTGTACATAAGAAGTGTATGGGTTGCCGGCCTTACTTCGATCGCAAAGGAAACTTTTACTGCCCATACTGTTTATGCAGACAAACAACTGCAGAGTCGAGTAAAGCAATGGAGCTTGTTTTGCTTAAAAAGCGAGCTCTGTCCGCTTTCCTGAATAAAGAAACAGTTAACAGTGAGAAACTACTCCCCCAACCATCTCATGTCTTTCAGAGTAAATATAACCATGATTCTGTAGACGATAATCCCAATGCTTCAGTGGCTGGAAAACAAACAGTTTCTGACATGATTGTTGCTGATGGATGTGAATCTAGTGACAGACGAGAGCCTATACGGAAATTTAGGATTGTAGAAGTTGGCGATAGGATGGATGCAGAACATGATTCAGATGTTGATGGCCAACCACTTCATGATAGAGATGTTGAAGATCCTCAAGAAGATGGCCAACCAAATGAGATACCTGAACGAGAAAGGAAAATGACCGGAAAATGTAAACAAATTTCTGTGCAAAATGATCTGAGGAATGAGGATTGTCAAGAAAATGGGCAACCAAAGAAGATTCCTGAAGGTGAGAGGAAAATAAAGAGAAAATTCAAGCTCAGGCTAGCAGAAGATGAACAAGAGGTTAATGACCAACAACTATATAAAGATGCTGAAGAGGGCTGCCTGATTGATGAAAATCAACCAGAAGTTGATGACCAACAACCAGATAAGGATATTGAAGATCGTTTGAGAGAAATATTAGAAAGCGGAGTGAACATCAAGAAGAAATCCATGGAGGTGCAAGCCGAGAGGAAAGAAAATGAAGCTGATGGTGGTGCAGAATCTGATGCCATTTCAACAGAAAGAGAACCCATTATAATGAACAATGAAACTCAGGATGAGCCTTTAAATCCTTATCCTAAAAAGAGGTCAAGTTCGTCAGCTAATACATCTAGGAAAGTTTCAGGTCTAACTGAGGAGACAATTCCCCATGAGAAGTTCCAACTGGCTGGAGAGCATTCAAAGGGACGGTGAGTAATCAACTACTACAGAAGATACCAATGTTTATTGCACGCTGATTATTTATTTTATACGTAGTATTATATTAATTCATTTGTACTCCTTGTGTCCAAAAGAAGAATTCATGTATCTAACACCTTTCTTTGTCTCTAAAAAGGAGTCCAGTTTGAGCAAACAAAACTAATTGTCCATGTAATTTGCCAAAAAAAGCCGCATACAAGTTACTTGTGTATGATTATAAAATAACAAATAAATTTTGAAAAATATAACTATGAATAATGATTCTTGGAAGGGGGTTTGAATGCTCCCCCTCTCCCCCATGTTTACTTGATTATATGCTTCTGATTTGAACTTACTTGTTCGCTGCAGGAATTATGCATTTTGGAATGGAAAACGTAAGAAGGTAAGGTGGAGTGAGGAAGAAGAAGAAATGCTAAAGGTACAGAATGTGAAAAAGAAATTTCAAACATCACTTAATTGGTTGATGAGCTTACTGTTAATATGGAAGAACTTTGCATATCAGTGGAGCTTCTAATGTGAGTTCTTATTGCATATTTGACTACAGGAAGGCGTTCACAAATTCTCCATAACAGCTAATAAGAATATACCATGGAGGAAAATCTTAGACTTTGGTCGTCACGTGTTTGATGGGACCCGTACGCCGGCTGATCTCAAGGACAAATGGAGAACTTTGTGGGCTAATAAGGTGTAGTAGAAGTTTTAAAGTTTCTTTGTAGCAGTTTAAATACCCGGAAGTCATTTTAGAAGTTCTCTTCTGGTGGAATGAAAAGAATGAAAAGACAGCTAAAACCCTTACATCTTGCGTAGGGTGCAGGGGTTTGATTGGAATTCTCCTGTTGGGTTATATATGGGCTAATTTTGATGGTATACTACTGCATGGTGTCCTTGTAGTTTACATTCCTAAATTCCTTTCCCTGTGATCTGTATTTTAGTTCCGTTCTTTTGTTTTTATCCATAAATTGTAGATAAAGATTATAGAGTTAAAGGTGTGCATACCCCTCAGAACAACATTCAGATAGGCCTCAACAAAATAAAATTCACAAAACTGCTAACAATCAAAACAGGGGAATCTTAAAAGTCAACCATGATTGAGGGGTATATTCTATATAACACTTTATATATAATCACTTTAATATGCAAAATCAAGTCTCTTCAACTGAGGTAACCCCTTTTGTAGTGATGGACCCGGGTCCGGGTCGGGCTTAGGCCCGTCCGGGTCTGGGTGGCAATGGTTTAGGCCTGGCACCGGCCCGGTTGTCTACTGGTTTTGGGCCGGGCCGGGTTTGTTTTTTTTATTTTCTTGATTATTTCATCCCCTACCCCCCATCCCCTAAACCCATCGGAAACACCCAGCCCAGCCCATTTAAACCCAGCCCAAACCAAAAAAATAAAAATAAAAAGGTCCGAACTGGGCCCGGCCTGGTTCACATTTAATCGATCCTGGAACCGCCCCGGTTTCATCCTTAAACCGGGCCTAGACCTGGAATCGGTACCCGGTTCCCGGGCCAGGCCCACAGTACCGAGCCGGGCTGGTTCCCAGGTCGGGTGGCCTGCACCGAGGCCATCACTACCCTTTTGCAAATAGAGGTGTATTCCTCGCTTTCCAAATGAACTAAAGTTTGCATTCAAACGCGAGTCTAGCAGCCTTTTTCAACAAGCTTTGATGCGGATGTGTTTTATGAAGCTTTTTTGGGGTATTATCTTTAAATATTTCCAACTTCACAACAATATCTTTGTTTATCTTCTTTTTTCGTTCCATTAAATAATACATACTTAATACTTTAAATGATTTTACATAATAATCTCTACCTAGAGTGTTCATAAAAATACATCGAATTAGGAGTGGTGTTAAAAACATTGGAGTGAATTTAAACTAATGTCTTTTTAATACTTCCAACCCATACTCTCACTTTTGCTCTAGTGAAGCAAAAAGTGAGGGGTGGGAGTTTAGAGTATTAAATGAACATTAGTTTGAATTTACCTCAATTTATTATTGTCGAGACCATTGCTAGTTTGAATTAATTTTATGAACACTTTTGGTAGAGGTTATTATTGTAGAATTCTTGAAAGTAGGGATTATTCTTATGAATTTTGAGTGCATACAATATTTTGTACTACTTTCCTCACAAAAAAATATTGTAGTACTTGTGTGGTTCAAATTGATTTATATATTATACGGAGTATAAAGTTAACATCAACCCTGTGGTTCTATTTTCTTAAGATGCTGTGTCACATTGTCATCTCCTAAAGATAATTAAACCTTTGGTAAAAATGCTATTTTTATTTTATTTTAGAACATAATGTTACCATACTTGTTTTTTTTAATGAAAATGTTACCATACTTATTAAATATGGAAAATGCAGAAACTGCATGCCAATTACCAAATGCCAATTGTAAAATTGTAAATCTGTTCGACTTCGTGTTATTGCTATCACATGTCCATTCGCAGCACCACCATTTTGAGTTTTGACCAGTTACCCAACACTTAGCAATTCAATTGCCCAACTCAATTCCCAATCCATCTAATCTTCACCTGTTCTTGTTTTGACAAACCAGTTAGCAAACATTAAAAATCAGAAAAGTAAAGAACCTGCAAACCACAAGGATTGGTAAAATGTGAAATCACCACACACATGCCTTGACAAACCACACCAAATATATATAATTGCTTCTAGAGCTACTCGATCTGAGAAGGTCGAGCATGCGAAGCAGCTTACGGTGATGGACTGCTGGTAAAGTACATTTCAAAGGGTTGTTAGGAAAGATGTATGGTATACCGTATATGCTATATATTGGTAACGAAGATGGCGCTCTCGTGAGCTCATCTTTGTTCTTCAATAGCGGGGCGCGTCCTAGTGTGCGTGCATGGACCTTTGATGTGAAGCTCCATCTTTCGGATTCTGTATTTGCAGATGCACCATGTTCATCTTATCAATGAGATAAGGAAGGAAGATAAAATAATTCAGGATGAAAAATGGCTGAAGGAGGTATAAAAAATGGCTTGGTGAAGAGGACGGAATTCAACAAATTTATTGGGGAATAGTGAGAGTTGATAATATTGTTGCATACCGAAGAGATTGTAGTTCTAACTTCATACTCCCTCAGTAATGCACTAATGCTATCTTTGTATGATCTTATAATTACGTTCATTATTATATGGACTATAGAGTAGTAAATTTCTCTTACATTCTTACACCATATTTAGGGGGTGTTTGGATCTGATCCTTAAAACTGCTTCTGCTCCTTCAGGGAGTAAAAGCTAAAGTTGAAGTGTTTGGGTGAAAGTGAAGTGATTCCGGTGCTCTACTTTACCCCTTAAATCGTTCCAAACACCCCCTATATATTCTTTAACTTTGTAATTCAAACTCTTTCATGCTTTTCGATTCAATATGAACCAGTGGCATACTGCTTGGGGGACTGGCATGGCTCTTGACTCATTCTACATTTGGTAAAGAGAAATATTAAAAAGTGTAAAAAATAGAAAAATCACACCGTATAAAATAATTCTTTTTATCGGTCTACCTCAATAATTTGCTCTGGCTACACCACTTGTATCAAACACATAATTATATTTATACCCTCCTTAATGTGTCACCTTATCACTATTTCCCAAATGTAATATGCGATGAAGTTGTACATTCGATATCTAAGTATGGTTATGCATTTGAATCCATGTTTAGTCGTCTGAAATGTAGTAATATATTTGGAGATTACAAGTGTCTTTTGTCTTTTGCAATTTTGAAAAGTATTGTGATATTACTGGGAATTTTTCCTTTTTACCGAATGCCCGTAACCTAGTGCTGGATTCGGTTCAGGCCACCCGGCCCGTGACCCGGCCCGGCCCGGCCCGGTACTGTGCGGGCCCGGGACCAGCCCGGTCTGGCTGTCCGGGTCCGGGTGGATACGCGAACCGGGGGTGTAGGGCGGGGCGGGCTCGGTGCTTACAAATGGTGACCCGGCCCGGCCGGGTCGGGCCCGGGTCCGTGTCCAACAGTCCAATTTTTTTAAAATTTTTTTCTTTTTCTTTTGGGGCTTTGGGCTCAAAAGAGTCGTTAGGCTGGGCTGGGACATCCCAATGGCTATATAGCCGTTGGGAGGGTGGTAGGGGGGTCCGGTCCAGTCGGGGGGTTGGGGGTGGGGTAAAAAAAACCTATAAGTACTCCTAATATTAAACATTTTTCCACATCTTCTCTAACTCTTTCTAAATCCTCTCTACTCTCGAATCATCTTCATCTTCTTCATCTTCTCAAATTCTCTTATTCTCCAATATATTTTAGATTTTTACTATTTAATACTTATACAAATATTATATCAACTTTATATTAATTATCTACTTATAAATACATACCGTATATTATATTAGTTATATTTCTTATCTACTTATATATTAATTATCTACTTTTATTACAATTTATATCTACTTAATATACACTTTATATATTAAAGTATTAAATATATGTGTATTACTCATCTTATAGTAGTATACTTATATATTATATACTATAAACATTATATTATATATTACTTATACATTTATAATATCTACTAATATAGTTGGAATTATACCTAATTAATTCGAACTATATTAATTAGTATTTTAAGTATATATATATATATTAAGTATATATATATATATATATATATGATTTTCACTAATATATTACTTTTATAGTTTTATTACATCTAATTAATATATTAAGTATATATATACTTACATATACATATATTAGTTACACTTTAATTAATACGGAGTATTAGTTAAATTCATTCTATTACTCCCATTAATTAGTATACACTTTCATACATTTGTCTTATTTGTTTAATTTTGTATTAACATTACTTGATTAGTTAATTAGTATTCACACGAATTGTTTAATTTTTCATTAAAGTAGTTAATTACTTCATTACAATTTTTTTATTAATTGCTACCCTTGACTCTACTTTAAAAAACTAGTTAATTCTCATTATAGTTAAAGTTAAACTATAATAATTTGATTGTTTAGTAAAAAAATTAGGTAGTACAAAAAACTAGTTAATTGTTAGTTTTGAGTATTTATTAAACAATAGTATTGATTAGTTCAAATAACTAGGAAAAAAAACTAGTTAATTCATTATTCAATTAATTTTTGCTATAAATTTTGAACTCACATTTTATTAATATTCGCATTTTAGTTCAATTCACATTTTAATTAAAGTACTTCAGATTTCACTCGAATTGTTTTTATCAATAAATAATAGTTAGAATTTTATTTGATTAAAGTAAACTTGTTAGATTGAAGTATTATTTAAAATAGTTTTAATTACTTGCATTACTTGTGTACTCATTATTAATATATTTGTTGCAATTTAATATTTGTTACATTTTTTAGATGGAACGTGGTAGATATTCGATTGATATGGGTAACCTCGAGCGCAACCGACCGAATGAGATTGGGAGGAAGAAATCCTGCAAAGGTAAATCACATATCGGCTCTTCATCTCAAAGCCGAGATGATTTTGATACGGGTTACCAAAGGAGGGATGAGGATGCGATGTCCGACATGCAACTACAACAAGAATTGGACCGACATAATAACCGCTTTATCCAAGACAAACACCGCCCGACGACCATTGACGAAGAAGAGCTCGAGGACGACGATGTGGAGGAAATGGCCGCGGAGGAGGGTGGCGGGAGCCACGACGCCGACGAGTCTGCCTCATCCCAAACCGGTAAGAAAAAAAGTAAATCTGAACTAATGGAAAATAATTTTGATAAGTGGAAGGACGCGAACACCGGCAATTGGAACGCAACTTGCAAGTGGTGCAAGAAAAATTATAGCTTGGGAATTTCCGGCGGATACGGATCCGCCTCAAGGTATCTTAAGGCCAAACACCCGGTGGAGTATGCAAAATTAGGCGGTGGAACGGGGAAGCAAACTCAAATTTCGATGTTTGCAAATAACCAACAACCTTTTGGTAATTTCCAATGCAATGATGCACAAAAT